AAACTATCAGTTTCATTTATAAAGTTTTTAAGGGATATTATTCACATAATGGTGATTTCATTTGTTTCATGGCTTTCAAATAATTTTTAAATTGTTGTGAGGGACAGGATTGGCTCTTCTGTCTCAAAAGTTTGCCGACCCCTGGTCTACAGTAGCATCACTGACATTTAGAAGCAAAGAAGGTCAAGATATGTCTTGCATTGTCCACCTAGAAAAATCCTACATATCCTTCATTACCCAGTTCAAATATTGCCTTCTTCAAACCTCCAAAATCCTGCCCACATCACTTCTTCACCCAAATTTTTATGAATGTTTCCTTTCTCCACATTACCAAAGGTGGGGGGGGGAGGAAACAGAAAAAAAGTGAAAGAGGGAGAGGGAGGAAGAGAGCAGGTAAGAAATAAAAGGAGCGGGAAAGGAGAGGAGGAGGGAAGAACAGGACAGGGAGAGGGGAAGGTGGCTATGAGAGAGTTTAACGTCTGTCCTTCCCTGGTCTGGTATAGCCCATTGGTTCCCAGTTAGCTGTTCTGACGAAACCATTGTCCCACCTCCTAAAATATGCCCAACTGAGTAAGGTTAAAATGATGGTTACCAGGCAGAGTAAGGGGATCTCCTCTACTCCTAGTTTCTGGTTAGAAATTAAAGACACATAAAATAAAACATGCTTTACTCTTAAATAAACTTATTTATTTTCAGTTTAGTTAACTTTTATCATACAATTGGGATGAGAGAGAAGGGGAAGGGACTGGACAGCATAAAGAGGTTTTCATTTTTATATATGCAAATATATAACCCCTTCATTTGTGATATCATATATTATTTTACACCTATGTAAAGAGGAAATAATTTATTCACCTACACTTCCTTCTATTTTTAAAATCTTTAATATTCTCACTGAACTCTAACACACCTGAAATTTAGTTTGGTGGATGGTCTATAAAATCTTTTTAGGAGGTAACAAGCAAACCAATCACCAATCAATGAACTTCATGTCTTGAACACTGTATTATTCTGACTCCCAATGAAGTGACCTTCTAAATACAGGTCATCCAGTTCTAGAGTAACTAGGAAGCTGCAAAAAATGGAAAAACAAGGGGAAAATGTCTTACCTTTTCCACTAAACCAAGTGTTGGAGATCAAGAAATGAGATGGAGCTGGTGATATCCTACAGCTCCTTCATGGCTGAATTCTGCAGTAAAGTGGGGCCAAGTATGGGGCTAGAGGCCAAGTCTCTGCCAGGGACTAGAATGAGCCAAATGTAGTTCTCTCCATGCCATAGAACACTATATCTCAGAGCATTGTCAAGAATAACCTGCATTGGAGTCACCTGAAGTGTTTGTTAAAGCAAAGTTTCCTGGGCCCCATTGCAGACCTAATGAATCAGAATATTGATGACTGAGTGTCCAGAGTCTGCATTTTTAACAAGCTTCCCAGGTAAATTTTTTGCATGCTAATGTTTGAGACTCACTGCCATAAACAATCACTAGTTCATGATTGGGGAGGGGGAGGGTCAATATCATGGTTTATCAGTAGTATCTGCTAAAAGACTGAAGAGGTTTAGTCAACAATATACATAATATGAGTCAGTGGTGAGATATGGAGACCAAAAATGAGCTAATGCACACACAAATAAAAGTACAATTCCTACAATTGAGAAGGCAATGGTCTTTCTGTTTCCCCACCCATACCAGGATACTGTGTTTAGCTTTAAAACACCACACCTCAAGAACGATAAAACCAAAATATGATTATGTCCTCAGGAGGACAACTTGGCAAATGGAGAGGTTGCAATCCAAGACTAATCCAGAATTATCTTTGATAATTCTGACATCTATGAATGTCAAGTCTAGAGAATTGAATCATCTGTATAACATCTCTTTCAACCTCAAGTAGCTGAAGACATATCATGTGGAAGAGATCCCTCTGCCTACTCAATGTTATCATGCATGTAACTTTATGTACCTTCCCCTTGGCTGTTGATTTTCAAATATGTATCTCCAGACTTGGTCATTCTCTTGAACTTCAGCCCTTCTGAAATCTCTCCACCTGGATTTTTCACAAGCACCTCAAACACTACATGGTTAAAATCAAATAATCATTATCCCCATTTTCACAGACAATGAACCTGAAACTCAAAGAAATTAAAGAATTTCCCTTGGGTTCCAGCAAAGAAATTAAACCCAATCTGTCTGAATCTAAAGCTTATGCTCTTTCTATTTTTCTTATGCTGGCTTCTACAGTATAAGAAACACACACACACACACACACACACACACACACCAGGACACTACATATATATATATTTTTTTTTTAGCTCTGAAACAAAGTACCAAGTTTTACAGGAGAGTTGGTCCTTCCTGAAAAACAAATCTGCTCTAAGAAACTTTTATATTAAATTTGCTAGATTATGTTTAAAAATAAATAAATCCCTCGCAAGATCAGGGGCAAAATTATTACTTGGAAGAAGTTGGAGAAGTCCTTTCCCCTCTCTGGATCACAGTTTCCTGTTTTTCAAAATAGATAAGCTTGTCTGCACTTTGAAGATCTTTCTGTCCTCTTAAAGCAGTGCCAATCTGAGAGTCTATGGAAGACAGTTTCCGTATAAGGTATAGACATCATGAATAAAAACTCATGCCATTTAGCCTGTGTAATAGCTCAGCTGCGTTCCAACACCATCCTCCAGGACCTGCTGGACTAGAGGCTGATCATATATCTTCATATTCTCATCTACTCCAGGCACCCGGCCCAGCATGACGTACTTATCCACACAGTTCTGACTCACCTCTGGCAATACTAGCTCTTTACTAAACTGGAGAAGTGATCAGGTAAAAAGTAGAAATTCTGTCACATTTTTCCCTACATATGGTTCTGATGTGCTTCCCCAAAGTCACTTACTAGCTGCATGACCTTGGGCAAGTCACTTACCCTCTCTGAGCCTCAATTTTCTCATCTGTAAAAGAAATGCTAAAAACACATAATCACCTGATTGTTGTGAAAATTAAAAAATAATGTGTGTAAAATCACCAGGCACAGGCTAGGTACTTGGTAAACAGTTCCTTCCTTCACTGTCATTCTTGGCTGGGCCATACCAGCTAACCCCAAGATTTCCTTCGATTCACTAGTTATTCTCAGGGTTTACTCTATACCTCTTTTTTCTGATCATCACCCCCTCCACCAACCAGACAAAGAACATTCAAGAAATGCTCATGGAGATTCTCTCAATCCACTGAACTGCAGCAATTAAGACTGCATTTGAGGTTTTATAGCAAAACTTAAAACCCTAAAAGGTAGTCAGCCAACTTCTGCTTAAATGTTTCCTATGATAAGGAACTCATTTCCTTCTAACACAGTCCATTTTATCTTCAGTCAGTTCTGCTATAACTTCCACCTAACAATCCTAATTTTATCCCTTGGGATAACATCATAGAGATAAAATCCTCTTTCTTCTGACAACTCTGCAGATACTGGAAGACAGCAACCATGCTCCACTCTGTATTCCAGGTTTCTCTACTTAACTTCTATTTTGTCTTTGTCCCTCTTTAAAGGATAACTGCCATAACTGAGCACAATACCTGAGATATGGTTCTAAAAACTCAGAAAAGAGTCGAATAATCACCTTTCTTATTCTAGACTCTATATTATTAATGCAGCCAGAGTTTCCAATAGCTTTTTTGGCAGTCATATTAAACATATCCCCATGCTGTAGAGTTGCTAACATTTTTTTATGAAACTTATGCAAGATGTCACATACATACTTATCACATTAATTCTTTTGTTTTTTAATCATTTTTGCAGTCTAGTAATTCTTCTTGGATTCCTGTTCCATGATCCAGTACACATACTTCCCCTCCCACTCCAGTTCTCTCTTAAAGTTTGATGAGTGTACTCTTCTACATCTTAATCCAAGTCATTAATTAAAATGTTGAAACCAAGACAGAGCCAGTCACAGAGCTCTACAGCCTACCACCAGGGGTCTCTTTTTGCAATAGTGAAGCTCAACCTTTTTCCTGCCTTTAACACACCTGAGGGCCCTCCTACCACCCATTCACATCAATCACAGTAGCTCACAAATATTAGATATCCAAGGAAGGGCAGGCCTTCTCAAGGGGAGTACTGTAATGAAGGGAAAGGCCTATGTGGTTTGGAAAAACCCTCATTCAGGTGATTCTGTTAAACCCCTCAGAGAATGTGCCCTCACTACCCTACCCCACACACATAGTTCTTAAGAATTGTTGCTCCAGAGAAACATAGAATCAATAATTAGCACCCTTTGTGAATAGTTTCTTCATCTGTATGATGGAGCTAATAACACATACCTCATATGGCTGTTGTGAAGATTAGATTAATGCATATAAAGTAGTTAGCACCATGCCCAGCACATAATAAGTGCTCAATAAATAGTAGTATTTAAAAAAACTATTTCAGAATCTCACTAAAAGAAAAATGTTCCAGTTCATGTTTCCTCTATCTTGTTCACCAGGATGTCATAAAAATAAAAATCTTTGTTCTGTGCCTTGCTGTGATACAGGTATACTGCAACCATCACATACTTGCATCTATTAGTTAAGTGACCCTATCAAAAGAGGCCACATTTCCAAGCCAACAAATCTGAATATAGGAAACAGCTCTCTAATGAGGCTATTATGGCCACAAATATATTGAAGTTTCATTGTTTTCAAGCTCATGCTGTACTGCTTGACCTGGCTCCCATCCTCCTCACCTCTGAATGGCAGAATCAGAACTTTCACATTCTTGAAGGTCCACATCATTGCTCTCGCTATTTCTTCTTATCTGACCTGCTGTTTTCAGAGAGGGTGTCAGAATCCAGGTGAGGTAATCTGCCTTGCAAAAGAATAATCTCAAAAAGTTTGTGGCTGAAGGACAGATTGTGATATCCCACCCTGTTTACAGTAGGCCACACCTATTACCTATATCTCTGACATGATACTCTATCTCCCACCCCCACACTTTGAGTCACCATAGTTTATGATGTCACATACCACATTTCAGGGCTTCTGGTGGCCACAGGTGCACGATGAAGTAGGAACTGAATCTGGAACCAGAAATATCTGTGAGTCTGCAACAATGGAAGCCATTTTATGTTGTGGCTTTTCTGATGTCACTTTAATAATAATCAATATATTATTATAAAAATAACAATTGTTCATATCTGTATTGTGTTTTCTATAAAGTACTTCAATGAACAGTTTCTCCTTTACTCCTCAAAACAGATCAATAGCTTCATTTGGGAAAAACATTGCTGGAATTTTTAAAAGAAATTGTCTTCATCAAGCTAAATTATCTATTATTTCCCCGTAGATACACAAAAATAAATCTGCCACACAATCCAGTTTAATCAAACAAAACTGTTAAATGGCAGCTATTTTGCTACAAAAGGCATTAAATTCTATGGTTCTAATTTTTTAGGGCAGATGATATTAACTTTACTTTACAAATGAGGAAAACAAGTCTTTGGGAGGTTAGAAAATTTGCTCAAGGTCCACACAGCAAATAGCAAAACCAGGATTCAAAGCTTGGGTTATGTGACTCCAAATCTCCTGATTATTTTTCTACCTTAACATTTGGAAGTGCCATTCAACTGCGTTGATTAGAATGGCTGCCATCCTCTCCTGTCAAAAAGTAAGCAGTGGCTAACTGAATCCATCTTCCTAAAAGACAACTTTCAAATTACAGGATCCTAAGCTAAATTCTCTCACAAAAGGATAAATTTCTCTCCCAGGCAGCTAAGTTCTTACACCATTCTAAGAATCCTTTCTTTTTTACATTATGGGCAAGCAGCCATAGAACCTCATCCATCTGCAGAAAAGATTTGAGACATACAGCACCAAACCAGAGCTCCAACCCCACCCCCAGTCTTGTAGCATTCTGTCACTTATCATCAAAGCATACAACTTTCCCACTGTCCCACTGCAGAGATTTTTAACAAATTAGTAATGATACAGTCTATAAAATTTTCATTTTTCACTCTCCATCTTTTTTAGTCCCTACCCTTCACACTGCAGTCCCCACAAAGCACAGAAAGACAACCATCTAGGAGAAATCCAAACATAGGCCAATTTCTACTTCAGCCCACTACAGTGAGATAGATAATGAGCCCCACAGGTGAGAAATTAGGTGCTGTTCTCAATCTACCACCTTCTTATGCATCTGTTAAAAATTGCAAGGTATAGTCCTTAACTCAATTCTAATTAACTGAGTCATTCACTTCATGTCCTACATATTGTAATTGGCTCTTTTCTTCAAGATTTACCAGTCTCTTCTTCTAACCTAAATAGCACCCCTAAACATCTAAAAAGCATCATGACAATCCACAATTAAAGGGGTGGGAAGTTTGTCATTCGTGGTTTGGGACTCTAAATAATTGCAACCTAACATGAGGCCAGACAAAAAGAATGGGCCCAGGGGCTGGCTTGAAGAACCAGGCATCACTGGGGACACATATAAACCAGTCTCAGCTCTAGACAGATGGGACTGCTAGACGGGATCAGCTCCAATACTGCTTCCCAAACATACTGAGGCAAAGCCCAAAATCCTGCATTACCTCCTCAAAATGGCCTCTCACCTCTCAAAAAATATATGTTTGAGAGTGACTAACCTCTTTTGAGCTTCCACTCAATCAACCCTGGCTCCTGTATTTTCCAGTCTTATTTGATCTGTTTTCTTTTCCAGTTTTCATCTCAGTTTCAACTTCTGTAAGTACCTGATTCCTTGCTTTGGTTCAAATCAGCATCGTCTTCAGTCATCTTCCTGGGTTTACCGACCTCAGGTTCCAGTTTTGCAGAATTAGTTTAAACGGGTCAAAATAGATTTAAACTGGACTGAACTTATTTTTTCTTTGTGAGATAAGATTTGAACTGGTTAAGAGCAAGTTCTGACCACTTTAAACCCATTTGGGCCAGTTTTACATTGCTGATACAAAAACAAGCCACTGAAGGGATCAAGATGGATCAGGAATCAGATGAAGCAGCTTCAGTCTGTTGAGAAGACCAGTGGGGGGTCCAAAAAGGACCCGATGCTAAGGACCATACCATTTGTGGTAGTGATGCTGGAGGGGGAATCAGAAAGGACCTAAAAGTCTGTGAGGTAGGATCAAACCACTGTAAACCCCGGGGGAGGAGCTAAAAGAAACTGATGCTCAATGACGCAGGATTAAATCATTGGTGTGAGACAGAAGGGGGAAAATGCTGATGCTCTCCAGATAGGATCAAACCATTGAGATGTAGAGGAAACTGAACAGGGATGCTTTTCTATAAGGTGTCATTAAACCTGTCTGGAGTAGGGATAGAAAGAAGGGAGAGTAAGAACATAAAGGGCCTAGTAGTCTGTGGGACAGGATCAGGCTACTGTGGAGGGTTGGCAGAAAGGGGATGTAGTTCTAAGAAGCAGGAACAAACCACTGTGGAAGGGAGGGGAGCACAAAAAGCCTGAAATTTCTTGAAGCAAATTTAAATTCCTTTTAGTAAAGTAAAAAAGGATATGATATTCTGTAAGACAGAATTAAACTCTGTTTTTATAATTAATAGGGGACATTTACATGTATTATCTCACTTGCTCTTTCTTCTGCCCTAATGGTTGGGTCAGACCATCGTCTCACAAGGCCTCTTCAGTAGCTTGCAGCGGCCCCTGATGGTTGCTAGGCAACAGTGTACCAGCTGCCTGATGAACCTTGCCCTTTTGACATTAACCCTTGGGTTTCTGGAAGGGAAATACTATGTACACACATGAAAAAATTGGGAGCAAATTGAAACAGTATCATCAAATGCTAGGTGGAGAAGAGTGGGAGATAACCACACAGTAAGTATTTGAAAAATAATAGCTATGTAGAAGAAGCAAAACTCACAGAAGCACAGTCCTATAGACTTAGAAAGCATCACTTCCAAGTCCCCACAAAACCTTTGAGTCTTCCTATGACATACCTAACTAGTGGTGCTTGAATACATTTGATGAAAAATGAGTAGTTCTAACTTCCTGGGAAATCTATTCCGTTTTCTTATAATTCTGGTCTTTTTAATTTTATTTTTAGCTAAATTCTCCCTCCTCCATAGTTTCAACCCAGTAGTCCTGAGTTCTGTCTTCTAGAGCAGAGGTAAGCAACTGAGACCTTGTAGGCCATACCCAACCCACTGTCTATTTTCTCATAGTGTGAACTAAGAATGTTTTTTACATTGTTAAATGGTTGGGGGGGAAGTATTTTGTGATATATGAAAATTATATGAAATTCAAATTTCAGTCCATAAATAAAGTTTTGTTGGAACACAGCCATGTTCATTCATTTACATATTGTCTATGGCTGCTTTCCTATTACCACAGTAGAGTTAAGTAGCTGAATAAAAGATCCTATGGCTCTCAGACCTAAAATATTTATTACCTGACCCTTTACAGAATAAGTTTTCTGACCCTGATATAGAGTAACAAAAAATCAGTTTTGAATAAGACTGCGTATATAAGAATGTAATGGGAATGCTAGATATAAAAGAGAGTGAAAAGACCACAAAGAATCCCAAATTCTCAAAGGGAGGGAGGGGTCTAGTGCCAAAATCCTCTGAGACTGCAAATAACTTTAAGCCACTTCTCATGGGCTTCAGGGGATAAGGAATAGATTTAGCCTGTATGGAATTGCTGGGAATCTACAAGAAAAATGAGAGAATAACTGAAAGGGAAGGTTGGGATCAGAGTGTGAAAGGCCTTGAATACCAAATACAGTTGCTTGGCTACCCTGAAAGCAATGGAAGAGCCGTTATTGGGTTTCAGATTGGGATAGGGTTGAATGACAGGATAAAAGGACTTGAGAAAGATGATTCATGCTTCCAGACATGACCCTAGCTCTATTCCAGCTCTAGGCAAGTTGCAGTGATCTGAGAAGTTCAGATCATTCTTGTCACTCAGGTTCAGAAACATCTCAATACAGGTATTCTAGTCTGAGCACAATCTGATTGGAGGCCGGGATCCTACAATAAATCAAAGATAAATGCTGAACCAGTTTCAAAGGATTTCTGCCTTAGGAACATAAGGAGACTCTCATCACATCTTTATCTGATTCTTACTCACTTTTCTGGACTCAAATCAACTATTGTATATCTTTTCCAGGGCTCTTGCCCTCCCCTGAACTCCTTTAGCACTTCTATGTACCACTCATGTGGTCCTCACTCTACCCTGTTTAGTACTGAATAATCTCGTTCTGAAAATAGCTGTTTCCCCAGAAAGACCTTGAGATCCTAGAAGAAAGGGGTCCTAACTGATACCTCTCTGTGTTCCCATGGTATCTGATTGGTTGATAAGGATATTAATCCAATGACCTAGTGCTTCCTCATTGTAGAGAGGCCCTCACTTAGGGGACCCCAGACACTTTGGGAACTATGTCATCTCTAGCCACACATCCACCTTCCTAGACTGGATAGCCTGGGAAGAGGCGAAGCCTAGAGATATAGTCCAGTCAGTCCTGGGCTGCAATGACTATGCAAAGAAGAGCTGGCTCTTTCTGGCACTAATGCCACAAAGACACTGAATCCCCATCAGTCTTGCCTTCATGGGCTCAGGGCTAAATGCCCTGGTCAGGAAGACAAAGCCCACAGTTCTGGCTGCCAAGCATCCAGTCCCATTTTCCATGGCCTCTGTTGATCCTGGACCCAGCCTTCAGGCTGGACTCAACAGATTTAGGACGAAAATAGGCCCTTGGCTGAGAGGGCTGGCTTTCCACAAAGTGCTCTTTCCCCCAACGGCCAAAGCAAACGCCACTGGCCGGGGCTAAAAGCCAGCCAGCCGCTCCCGACCTCTGCTGGCCAGCACCAAGGAGGCCTAGAGTCAACAGTGCATGGACAGGTCTGCTATTTCATTCCTTTTCATTCCTCAAACATCAGATTTCCATTCAGGGAATCTAAACAATGAAATGGAACTAAAGTCAGCTCTAGCCTCTAGGAAAATGTCAAAGATCCCCCACGGGCCTCAATTGCCGAGAGTTAGGGATTCAGCACAGCCCCCTCCTTCACTCCCCTCAGCATCTCAAGCATGTTGAAGCCTGCAGGCCACCTTCTGTAGTCTGTTTAAATTGATTTCCTCTTTGATCCACTGGTTGTTTAGTAGCATGTTGTTTAGTCTCCACATATTTGTGTGGTTTTTTTTCCAGTTTTCTTTGTATAGTTGACTTCTAGTTTTATGCCATTGTGGCCAGATTGATATGATTCCAATCTTCTTGAATTTATTGAGGTTTGTTTTGTGGCCTAATATGTGACCTATTCTGGAGAATGTTCCATGTACACTTGAAAAAAAATGTGTATTCTGGAGTTTTTGTATGAAATGTTCTATAAATTTCTATTAAGTCAATCTGGTCTAATGTTACATTTAAGGCCATTATTTCCTTATTAATTTTCTGTCTGGATGATCTATCTTTTAATGTGAGTATAGTACTAAAATCCTCTACTGTTATTGTATTACTATGAATTTCTCCCTTTATGTCCATTAATGTTTGCTTTATATATTTAGGTGCTCTGATGTTGGGTATGTAGATTTTATGATTCTTATATCTTCCTATTGGATTGACACTTTTATAATTATGTAACATTCTTCTTTGTTTTTTTGTTACATTCTTTGTTTTAAAGTCTGTTTTGTCTGATATGAGTATTGCTTGCCACACCTTTCTTTTTGTCTCTATTTGCATGGAATATCTTTTGCCACTCATTTACTTTCAGTCTGTATGCGTCTTTCTATTTAAAGTAAGTCTCATGTAAGCAGCATATAAATGGGTCATGTTTTTCCATCTGCTCCCTTAGGTAAGAGGGAGGAGGAATGCAGGAATTAGTTATCAGTACCCATTGTTCTTGCTGGCCCACAGGCCAAGCTGAGTTCAACCAATCATTTTTCCTGAATTAAGTAGCCAGCCTCACTTCATCATGGTGGTGCATGGACCAGGTTTCAGACACTGGCTGAGAGGGACATGGAGAGAGAATGAGGAGAAAGGGGAAGGGGAGGGAAAAGGAGAGTGGGAAAGGCCAGGCAGAGACAGAGGAAAGTATTTTTGATCTTGCATACAGAAATCTCTCTAAAAGAGTGACTTTTGGCTGATAACTAATAGTGGAGGAGTGGGAAAATCTTAGCAGTGGTAAAGCTAGAAAATGACACTGCTTTGAGAATCAAGTTTTCTTGTCTATGTACATAGAAAACACTCTTCTCTCCCAGGCTGGGGTGAGCTGGTGCTGACTTCCATGAAACCTGTGACTAGAAGAGATTACTACCAAAAAGGAGTCATCCCTCCTCAGGGTTATTCAACATCTGAGTTGAACTACTAAATCGACATCCTCTAAATCAACACCCAGGTTCTTCTTTTTTTTTTTTTTTTTTAGATTTTTATTGGGGAATTGGGGGGATGGGAACAGTGCTGGGGGACTGGGGAAGGGGAGCAGACAAGTTGCTGTCGTTTTGTTCTTCAGTCTAGTTGTGGGGGACGTTGCTTCACTTGCCCAAGTTGGCACCATCATTGCGCTCTTCCCTGGAGAGGCAGATCAGTCGCCGGCTTCTGGACGGCCACTCACTGCGGCGGCTGGCCGCTCACGCTGGCTGCTGGCTACACACGGTAGCCCAAGGCAACCCACTGCCACAGGGGCTGCAGCCTACGCCGTCGCCAGCGACTCATGGCAGCCCAGCTCCAGGTTGAGCTGTTGTTCAGCATCTTAGCTGTGGAGGGCAGTGTCACTGGCCCTCATATGTGGGATCCGAACCGGGGCCCTCTGGCATCCCAAGCGAGTTCTTAACCATCGTGCCACTCGGCCGGCCCCCAGGTTCTTCTTAATAATAATTGTAGACATTTGACAATAATAAATAGCATGTACTTAACGCCAACTACGTGCCTGGCACTGTTTTATCCCCAAACTGTGCACCAAGGCACCCCAGGGTACCATAGCCAACTCACAGGGGTACCGTAAAATATTTTTAATTTGTGAGGGAATCACAGTAACATCTGTGGGACACAGTGTGAACTAATACTATTCAGTTTTCTGCACCCAATTGTTTAATAAATAGAAGTGTTAAGTATTTCTTTTAGCTTAAAGGTGCCGCGAAAACAAT